ATACATAATTTAGAGATGTCCCGATACAATTTTTTCAAGACCAAAGTACAAGTACTTTCCCTTAGGTACTTGCCGATACCAATTACCAATATGTTTTCTTAAAGGGACATGTGAAGTTTTTTTCTAAAACAATACAGACTAATGATTTTAGGACAGTTTCTTTATAGTTATGAAGAACTGTAACTCGATCCATGATTATTCAGCAATGGAGAATGGCAACCAGCAATAGAAGACTACAGATCTCATCAATCCATGATTATATAGCATTGGAGAGTGGCAACCGGCTAACCTGGGCTGTTTGCGGTCTCACCAGTGCTGCATTCGCATCTCACTAGGGCTGCCTTTGGGTGTCACCAGGGCTGCATTTGCCTCTCACCCTGGCTGTGTTTGGGTGTCACCAGGGCTGCATTTGCGTCTCACCAGGGCTGCCTTTAGGTGTCACCAGGGCTGCATGTGGGTCTCTCCAGGGCTGCGTTTGGGTGTCACAAAGGCTGCGTTTGGGTGTCACCAGGGCTGCATGTGGGTCTCTCCAGGGCTGTTTTTGGGTCTCACCAGATAGGAAGGGGTAGTTTTCCAGGGAAAAAGTCACTGGAAAAATGTGGTTACTGAATAGACCGAGATCAGCGTGTATTCGTAAAAAATATATATAAACTTTATTAACATACAAAAATTAGTTCTCTAGCACCATCAGTAAGCTTCCTAGAATTTGAATTAAAAAAAGACAACGTTGTACATGGCACTAAATCTATTCATTCATACCATGGGCCCCGCACATACTATGGCTATATCGAATCCCTGGGTTTCCAAGATGTGGTGTTTCGTTTCAAGGTTTAACACCCTTTCTCAATCATCAATTAAGCCCCTGAGCTTAATAAGCTTTGACTTAGAAAATAGTCGGGGGATAACAAAATAATTCAATTTCTTTCTGTTTGATGAGAGAAAGAGGGGTGACAGTGATGCCTGAAATCTCAGTATGATTTATCTAATAGAAAGAACTCCTGTAGAAAAGTGAAACTTTTATAGCTGATCAGATTGTCTTCAAAGGAGTTTGTTAGAGTTCAAATTCCCAGTTTCATCTCATGAATCTATCTCAGACATGTATCGTTTCCGGTATCGAGATCAGGTCTGGTTATAGGTGAGTCATCATTCGTAAAATAACTTTCTCATCCTGATATCAGATAGTCTGAGGGGGAGACATGTACAGGGCTCAAAGTAATCCTGGTAGTCAACTGTACTCACTGTTAGTTGTCTCAAACCCCTTATCTTCTCCTGTTTGGATTGCGGGTCCTATAGTCCGGTATTGCTGCCGATATTGTAGTTTATCCAAATACGATTCAGGATGGTTCTACGGTTGTTTATATGATGCTCACATATAGTATGTAGGGCATGTGGGGCTCTCCAGGGCTGTACTGGCGGGTGCTGGGCAACAGGCTCTGTTGGGCTGTGTTTGCGACTAACCAAGGCTGCATGTGGGGCTGTCCAGGGCTGTGACAATCTTGGGTAGGAGGAGGAGATGTGAAACCGGACCGGCACTGTCAAAGACAGCTACCATGAGGTCCCCAGCAGGCGCGTGACTTCAGGCAGATAAAGTCATTAAAGCGCTGGTATATGTATTAGGGCATTCTCACAAGTACAAGTACTCGTGAAAATGCCCTGCATCTGCACCAATACCAATACTAGTATCTGTATCGGTCCATCCGTAGTACATACACTGTTGCATGCTTACCTAAATATAAGAATATGTTAAAAACAAAACACCTCATAATTAAACTTTATACAAGTACACTAAATCAATGCTCAATTTATCTTAAAGCATATTATGTATAGTGCAAGATATTATGTATGTTTTTACCACTGGACAATTTGTAGATAATGGAAACCTCCTTAAAAGTTAAGATATGTAAATTTCTACTTAAAATAGATATTTGTGCCTTTCTAGCATGACTTACCACTGGTTTTACTTGCTCCATCTTCCTGGACAATAGGAAAGGTAGACCACATGAGTGCCTGACATAGTGACTGTGCAAAGCAGAAAAGAATCGGAAAAGTATTCAATTAAAGTGTATCTAAACCCCAAAGCAAAAATGTATTGTATTGAAGCTTACCAGTCCTTAGATGTGGTGGCTGCATTGATTTAAAATTTCAGGCTATTTAATATTAATTAAGTATAGAACATACCTGTTGATCTCACCAGAAATGTGTGAGTTTAAAAGAAAGCAGAACCATTCTAAGGCTACATTCACACTATGCAATTTGAGATTCCTGCCGCATGAATCCCAAATCTCCCATTTAGATGCAGCCGCCACAGTGTCCACATCTGTAAGTAGACGTTTGCATGTAATCACATATGGTACAATTACATCGATCATGTATCCGGGGACAGTGATCTATTCCAAACCGCATGTAATCATATCACATACGATTACATGCAGAATTGTAAATTGTATGCAATACCAAATACCGGTATATCCCCACAACAAACTGTAGCGGAGGGTGGAAATTGGCATGGAGATGAAACTGCATGTAAATGTCTGAGGACTTTTGGAGTCATGTCCAACCTTCAGCAACTAATGCAGTTTCGGAACAGAATCCATCAGATGTAATGATGATGAGGAGTTAAGCAAAGATACTAAATATGAGTACATTATAATTGTATTGGTGGTCCTTGCCCTGATGCACCACAATATAGTGTTGCAAGGAAAAGATTTTTGAGTAGTCTGCTAAACTTGTACTCCATTGCTTAAGAGTTATTTTCATACAACCACCACAAGCACACAACACAGTCCGAACATGCCAAAATGGGTCAACCGTCTCTCTGAAACCTTCTCACCATTATCATGAACCAGCTCTTTGCACATACAGTATGTCATTGGTGCTGGAAACCTGCAACCCAAACTATCCCCTTTGGCACATGGGATGATAGACTTGACTTTTAGACCCACAGTGTACACATCCCATGCTCTGCCTCAACTCTGTTTTCTGGTGCGTTTCATCCACAATCAGTGGTGTATTTTGGTTTTGTGCTGCCCTAGGCAAGACTAAACCCGAGCACCCCCCCATCCCTAATCTAAATTAGTCCTACCCCTTCCTGTTTAAGACATTTTGCATAACCTGTCAGTCGCGGGATTCAGCGCGCACTGTATATCTTGATTCTGACAGGTTGCGCTATCAACGTAGCGTGACGGTCAAGTTCTACTTTTGCAATAGCCACCTTCTCCATTCCTGGCTTAATGGGCTCCCTAGTACTGCAGCTACAATAACCATACTCCCCTGCCCTGCCATGCTGTGCTAGTCTCTAGTTCTGCAGCTGCAACACCGATCTTCTGCCTTCATATGCTGGGCCCTCTAATTCTGCAGTTACCCATCTTCTGCCTTGGCCGCTGGCCTCTGTAGGTTGCCCCGCTCTAGAGACATAACCCTGCACGGAGCTTATAGGCTGCACTTCCCCGGACTCACCACCACGGAGGTGCCGATGAGCACGATGACCATCTGGATCTCAGCCCTGGGGTCCTGCGGAAGCTCCTCCGCTGCCTGAAGTCAGAGATTCGGGTGCCGGTTTCCAAGAGAGGTTCGGCGCATGAACTGCCAGTGCATCCGGATGAAAGTCACCCACACCAATGCATTGCACAGCATGTTGACCAGAAAGAGGAAGGAGCTGCAGCCGGCATATATGTAGGAGTAGGTGGCATAGGTGGATACGTTGGTCCCCATGTCAAAGAAGCACCAGGTCCAGGAGTACTGGCAGACATTTATGAATAATTTATAATATAATTTATTTATTTTTTCTCTTACCTAATTTTGTTTGGTGCCCCCCTGGAAATTGCCGCCCTAGGCAAATGCCTAGTTTGCCTAGCAGTAGAAACACCCCTGTCCACAATGCACTCATGAGTTGGGCCATTACTGGTGATACACATCAGAAAAGGCAGAGTTGTGGCAGGGTTTAAAATGTGCACACTGTGACTAAACGTGGACTTAATGGAGTGCGACTGTTTCTTCTGTGGACATTGTATGTGGGAGCCAGAACATGCCCTTTGTGGGTTAAGCCCCTGTCTTGTAGGAGGCAGCAGGGCTTGAAGAGCATCAACTCTGTTTCTGTTTGTGTTGGGGAAGTCTGGGTGCTCTGATGTTCAGATACTTCTTGGGAGAGATGGCCTTACTATTCGCTCATTACTATTATGACCTACTTTATAGTAGTAAGGCTTAGATGGTGGAAAAGTAGTGGAGCTAAGCTCTTAACCCATCTGACCCCGGAACTACCTGGGTGCCTAAGTTGAAACAGACATGGCATGCGGGCACTTGGAGATGCCTGCTATGTGCTGAAAACTCTGGATTAGGTTTGTATTTTCCTTTTCAGGTTTGCTTTAAGATATTTCACCAACAATGTAATGTACAGGTAGTGTGTGTCAGTGAAAAAGAGCCAATTAAATATTTTTTTGTTTCTGACATGGCTTTACTGTCAATGGCACATAACCTTACACATTTTGACATTCAGCCTGCCAGAAGACATAAACCTCTGCAACCAAAATTGTGATATCCCAGTTATAAAGAATTAGTTGATGGGCATGACTTTTAAAAGCTGCTACACTGACAATTCTGACAATGCCCATAGCAACTGATGGATCGTTAACTTTTATCTTCTGACCTAGACTTTAAAAATAACAACTGTAGTCTCTTGCCTGTAACAGGAAACTCTTTTTTTCATCCAGTTTGTACAAATGAGATCCACAACATTTACTGTCATTAGTAAAGTGTTGGGAGACTGGGCATGTAAAGTGAGAACAAACTTTGTGATGGAGGTATTAGGTGGTAAAATCTAAAATGAATTGCAATTTTTCTTACTGAATTCTTTCTGAATGTTAGCGTATTAGGATACGTGAGTTTTATTCATCTTATCTGACCCCAGGAAGAAAGGGAGGGCTTGAAATTTGTAAAAACAAAGGAAACTAGATTTCACACAGGCAGCCTTTCCAGGGCTGGGACAGAAAGGGAAACTCCTTTTTGAAGAACATCACAATCCAAAGGGATTTGACTGTGACTGCAAATAGAGCTTCAAAGGGAAATAATCTGAACTCTTCTGCTATAATCACATCGGTTTATTCATTTAAACGGAATATTTGTTTTCTATAGTCATTTGATAATAACATACCGGGATTTATAGCCATGCTGGTTGTCAAAATGCAAACTTGAGCTGTATTATATCGGACTTTGATTTTGCTCCATGGGGATGTCTGCTGTGAATCCAAAAATTCAGACTTCAGGAAAAGATGAGTAACAACTGCTGAAGTGACATTCGGATAAGAGGAGGAAAATTGCTGCGACAACGCAGTTCCAAAAACGTTTCTCCCTGCAATTCATCCAAGGGTAAATATATCTATTGTACTTACCGTTTCCTATATCGGTTTATGTATTTCTCTCTGAAGGTACCCACAGATGACATGATTCATGGTGGTTGAGATTATTCATTGCTTAGTAACATGAGATTAGAAACTTTTTGGTGAAAGCGTTCTTCAGCAAGTTGAAACCAGTTAAATTCGAGGCATATGTCACCGCTGTTAAATCCCATGATCATAAATAATAAATATCTCCCATATATCCTTAAATTTGTTAACTGTTTAATTTTGTCTTCTATATTGTGGTGATGATCATACACACTTTAAATCAAAATGAAATTCCCCCACTTAGTATATTCAAGTGTAAGCCAAGACAACATCTTTTTGATTTAGTTTTGGGTAGAGCGGGGAAGGGTTAGTACCCCAGTCAGGTTTTCACTGTCTTATGGTGGCCATGCATATATTAATTTGTGGATAATTTAGGTATGAGCGATCGCAAACATCAGAAATTAAAATGTTCAACCTTGGTAAACACTAGATTTTGTTCTGCGCTGTTTAACTTGTATCCAATCTGTCAAAAAGATCATCTGAATTATGATCAGTTCCCTGACACAAATGCAAATATTTCTTTGATCGATCAGAAATTATTTACAAAGCTCCGCCACGGCCAATCAACTTGCCAGCGCTAAAGCCAATGAAGAGATCACTAAATGGAGTGAATGGAGGCTCTATTATTTGCAATTTGTGTTCAGTACGATCAGTTTAGTTGCAGTGAGTGAGTGAATAATGATATCAATACATGAGTGTTGGCACCATAGTTTGGGATAGAGTGGGGAAGGACTAGAGCTCCTGTCAGATTATTACTGTTATCCAGAGCGCTGTTAGAGAGATTTCAACTCACTTTCTGTCTCATGGACAAAGCTTTGACCACACAGGAAATGAGGGGCATAGCTGGAACACTGACACAGACAAAAAAACAAATCTGATGGGTTTCTAGCTTTCTCATAATCCACCAAAGAAAAACATTTTATTTCTGTTAATGTTGGAGATTTCCCCTCAGTTCCTGTCTAGTAAAATGTTATCAGCAAGACAGGAAGTAAGGTGAAATCTCTCTAATGGTGTCCTGGATAACACTGAAGACCTAACAGGGGCTTCAGTCACGATGAAAATATGTTTTGGCTTGACATAGTTTAAACCTAATCTCCTAATCTGCCAATAATTCATCTTTATTCCGTAATCTGACTGACCAAACTATTACCTGGCGATGATGTAAGACGCTGTTTCTTGGGATGATGTGGACTCATGTATGTTCTCCTTATATGTCTAAAGGATCTGGTAGTTTGATGTGGATACAGATTAGTCAGACTTACTCATCAGTGAGCTAAATCTGTAGGAGCTCAGGTCACACATCCCCAACCCAGCTTGAGGTAGGCAGCCCACATTACGCAGTTATGACGACTGAAAGGCGCTCTACAGGGCCCCTGTAATTGGGGAACTGCGTGTCCTTCCTGTACGTGCTGGACTTCCTCAGCAAATGGAAGGCTCTGGTGTGTTTTGATATAAAGGTTTTCATATGAAAGTAATATATTGATTGATTTTATTGCTTTGAACCAGAGGTGAGCCATGTCTGTTTATTAATGGCAGGTTCTTGGATTGCCAATTGCTGGGTATAGCTGGAGTCCTATTATGTTAATGATGATCAAATGAGGTACAATGATGGCTTTATATTTCCTTCTTACCTTATGTAGTCATCAGTTATTCATGCCAATGGTACAGTTGGTGTAAGTGGGATTTTGTGAAAGGAAGACACAATCTCGTTATCATTGCTTTTTTTGTTTTTTTAAATATCTCTATAGGTTGAACTCGATGGACATGTCTTTTTTCAACATGACTAACTATGTAACTATGTAATTGCTACTCAGAATTCTTGAAATTCAATATTCAGTTTGGCAGGTTCACTTCTAGGGGTTTGCATGTTGGGCGGGTCTTTTTTCTTTCTTGGTAACTTGTGTGACTTTTGTGCCAATGCTAAACCAGCTCTAGTGGGCTCAGCTTCTGACAAAATGTATATTTTAGCTTTTCATAGAGTGGGGAGAGGTTAGATCCTTTGCCTGGACTTTCTAGTGGTTTCTGAAGTCATTGGGGACTTTTCCTCTTACTTTTGTTTGGTCACAGAAACAGGAAATGAGCAAAATCATTATCACATTGTCAACATGATTGCAGACAGTAATAAAACATTTTCTAAAGTAGAGAGCTCTTCACTTCCTGTTTAGTCATTTGGGCAGGAAGTGAGGTGAAATTGCCTAAGGTTCTAATCCTTCCTGACTAAACCCCCCAAAAAAATTTTAAGTTAGGAATTGAGTTTTATGGTGGCCTTCGTGTTGCTCGACGCAACGCCACGCAGTGCAATCAACATAGAATCTCACTTCATCTTCTAATGTGCATAAAGCTGATTGTATGAGGACTAGTTACACATGGTGAGTCCACTCAAAACTGATAGGTCAGTTATATAAAGACTCTGAAAGGTTGAATCATCTGCTGTTTCCTTATAGCTTTTAGAAACTCCAGCAACAATGTCTCTCAGCTACAGTCTTCAATTTGGCTATCCCTCAACATGGAGTCTCACTTATACTGCTGATCTACCTAGGGTAGAGCGATTGTCCTGGGAATTAAGATGTAGAGTTCTTGCCTCCAGAATTCCTGACAGATATTCATCCTGTCAGCATCCACCCCAAACGGAAACATCAGGTTGGAGGGAGGTAATAGATATAGATACTTTTAAGATACCTGTGCCAGTGCTTTTACATTAAAGGGGAACTGTATTAAGAGAAATGTGTAGGCTGCCATTGCTGGCCTCTCCAGAAAATGCTACTTGCCTGTCTATCATGTTGATCCATTGTCTTTAGTATATTGTGAGCCCCTGACATGGAATAAGTATGCAGATCACCAGTTCCGGACAATTAATAAAAATGTTTTAACTGTGATTCCATACAGTTATTTACGTGTTATATATCCTGTCGTGTACTACTCAGCAAACACATCCAACACACTTCCCTGGAGTTTCTTTGCTCATGTATCTGATGGCCTCCTTTCATCCACCCTTTATATTGCACACGTTATGTTTTTAATGAATTTCCCTTATAATAATTACCAGTAAGACCCCTTGTTCTATGGAATTAAAGGATAGATAACATGTCTGTATATTTTGTGTGATTTAGTATGGATCTCTGAGCTCTTCCTTTTTCCACTTCCTCATTGATAGTCAATTGTTGAGTCTACTGCCCAGCCAGTTTCCTCACACATTGATCACAGTTGCATTTAACTATCTTACAAAAAAAAAAAAATAAGATAAGAAATACTGAGAGTTACTTTACCAGTGCTGAAATGGTTTATCTGTACTTTACTAAAGCTGGCCAATATTTGAATGCTACTAGTGCATTGATCAAGGAATCCCTCCTGTTTCTTCTGTATTCTGACAGCGGCCGACGGCCACTGTCAGAATACCCGAACAGAGCTGGCAGTTCGTAGGAAGATTTTCTGACCGGCTCCTTCGATCAGCTGAACGAGGGATACCGGGCAAAATGGTGACGACAGCGGCACCACTGTGCAAATTTTGACCTGTTCCTGTAGAACCGGCCCAGATTCGCACAGTGTATGGCCACCTTCAGTAAAGCTGGCACCATACACATTACAAATGTACAAAAAACTTTAGACCAACAAAACAACTGTGTAGTGCTTGAGCATGCCTTATTGGATATTAATTGATGGGATTGTATAGTTAGGCTCTCACATTACAGACTTTAAGTGTATGTCCAGCCAAAACATAAATTCTTAGTTTTTTTTCGATAGAGGGGGGTAAAGGCTTAGAACCCCTGAAATATTTTTTTACTGATATCCAGCACTCTGTTAGATACATTTACTTACACTTCCTGTCCTGAGAGATAGGGGCAGACTGCTCCCCTTATAACAGAATGTGCCTGAAAAATAAGGTAACCAGATTTTAAAAGTGAAATCTAAGGTCAACAACTGATCACGCCCACTTTTAAACACACCCAAATTATCACACCCCCGTTGGAAGAAACACCCACAAAACCACACCCCCATTTTAACACACCCTCAAATCGTAAACAAAAGGCGCACACGTTTTGATCATGTTGCTCATCGATTGCATTATATGTAAAGCAACTTCTTAGGCAGTACATTATATTATATATTTATATCTTATATTAAATAAGGATAAAGGTGTGTGAGTCCTGTATATATTCTTACTATCAGCAGGTTCACTGTCTGCTTTGTAAGCAGAGCTAACCCTAATATGTGGGTTCAAAGTGGTTCTCGAGCCATGCAAAGGCAGCTCCTGGTGGCCCTCAGCCAAGCTCAATATCTATCCTGCCCTGTTTACCACCACATATGTATGTCCATGAGCAAGATGGCATGTCCTCCACCTCCTTCTCTATCTGCACTTGCTGGGATGCAGAGAGGGAGGACCTTTGGACCTGATATCTGTGGACCAATTACCAATCGTTTCTGGCATCATGAAAGAGGAAGATAATGCATGCACCCATTCCCTTCCTCTCCAGGCAGCCATTTAAAAGCAAAAGTCCCCAGGCAGATTACTACGCCATGTTCCTGGGTGAGGGACAACATATTTCACACAGGGATGCAATATTTCAAACAGGGACCAAATCAGGGGCACATTTTTTAACCGGGGATAGCCTCTTCAAATTGGGGACTGTCCAGGAAACTGGGGACATCTAGTCACCCTACTGACCAAGGACCTTCATGGCAGGATCACCAAGTGTTATTATTTAATAAGACTGCAGATTTAAAATATTAAAATTACTTTTCAATTTACATTAACATTTTAAAGCTTATATGAGATATTGGTTGGGTTTACATTTACATTACATTACATTTACTTTAAAGTCCAGTAACTCCTGGCCTTTAATGGTGTAAATTGTCGCTTTCAGTTCTTTGTGGTCTTTTTTTACATTTCAGATCAAACATATCTGGTGCATTAAAGAACTTGTGAAGATTACAATGATGTGTACGTAATTACTTTGACATTTTCTTTAGTAAGTTTTTCTGGTTCTTCTCCCTAGGTCTGCAAAGGTTCTACAATGTTTCACGAAGAGAAAAAGGAAGGAAGTCCCCGATTCGGGAAGTTACATTTTCCTGTGGGCCTCTGGATTAATTCTCCAAAGAAGCACTTTGCCAAGCTAGGCAGACGCTGGCCTAGTGTTGGCTCCATCAAGTAAGACTCTTTCTCATTTCCTCTCCAGCCTGTTCACTGAATGTGTGTCTTAGTATAAGATAACTGTGCAGCTTCAGAGTTATTGTCTGTGACAAAAATATCTCCATGTCTTGTGCTGATAGGTTGGTAAATATAAGCAATGAAAATGTAGATATACCTTAGGCTGACATACATAGAATAAGTAGCAAGTGAGGATGAGCAAAATGCAGAGTTCCCCCAAAATGTGGCAAAAATCAGCAGATTTCTTCAAAATGTAACTTTAAAAAAAAAATGCATTGGAGTCAATGTGGAAGATAAAATGAATGTGGTTTAAAGGACCATTTAGACTATAGCTGTACGCTAAGCGCATGTTGCCCTGCATTTGGCACTCACTATCGCACAGCGCACCTAGAATGCAGTACCATGCAGTAGGTGCATTACGTTGTATTTCATTTAATGGCAACCAAATGCACCTCCCAGCTGCTGGAACCAAGAAGAGACAGCCAGATCTCACTGGCGTCAAAAAAGAAAAAAAAGAAGGTGGTGCATGGCCTATCTAGTGGCAAGGTATCTGCGGATCACAGCAGGAGGTTTATTTGCTTAGTATGTTAATTGTGGATGACCCCAGCAAGTCTCAGCGACAGCAAGGCAGGGCAAACAATTGGCTGTAAAATAGACTTTTTTATTTTAGTTTGAAAAAAATTTTTTTGGCTTTCTTCAGGTAGCTTTAGCAGTGATATAAGAGTCTTCAGATGACACAGCAGTGTAAAATTGGTCAGCAGCAGGACAATTGTAAATAGCAAGACTAGGCCCAAATTTAATAGAGACACAGGCTGGGGCTTTAAGTGCTGCACACAAATGGCAGCTTAAAAAAGAGAGAACAGTAACATGTGAATGTTCTGCTTTAAGCACCCCAAAGTAAAAAAAAAAAGACTCCATCAACATAAAATAATAATAAAAAAAAAACACAAAAATACCACTCCTGAAACAAAAACAAGGTCCTAGCAACATACAATAAAACATAATATACACCACAAAAATTTACCGGGATTGCAAATCTTAAACCCATGATTGTTTAAAGCTCTGCGCAAACTGTTGGCACTACATAATATAATAATGTATAATAATAATAATAATAGTTGTAACAAACCCAACACCGAATCACTGTGTGTAAAGTGCAATAGCCAAATCACATTTCTCCTTCACATTTGCACAGATCTGATGACAGAAATCTTTGAACATAATTTTGCTTCTTGCAATGCATTACTGAATATGCTGGACATAGTAAGGGAAATTGTAGGAATTACAGCTGTGTCTGAGCCTTGGGACCTGTATGGGGTCAGATCTGCGACCTCTATTGCCTGGGAGATGTGGGAACAAGACGTATAGGCATTTTATTACATCTGTTCAATAGCGGCAAACAAAAATGACTTGTTGATTCTGCCATAAATCTTGTAAACTGATTATTCCATGTGCTCTCTGCCTATGCTGCCTAATCAGTTACATTGTTCCCAGCATTTTTTGTGGACTACAAAACACCTCTACCTTATGGAGATGAGCAGAGGGGAGGTGTTCTGTAGTCGTGTCCAAGGTTAACAACACTGCTCCTTCAAAGACACTATTCCGTGAGTGAACATTGTCACCCTAGGACAAGAACTGTATTACTGACAGCATGAGAAAGTGAAAATTAAGGTAGAAAAACTGAAGAAAAGAAGTTGAATGCAGCCAACAATATATTACATATTTGATCTTGGGTTCAGATATGCTTTTGTGCCGTACAGCAAAACTGCTGAAAAATGTTCAGGGTTGTTCACAAAAGGGTGAAGAGTTTGGAGAAGGCAGGGGAAGTAAACAATTTAGGACAACTTAGCTGATTTGGAAACATTCTCCAATTCAGCTCACTTTCCAGTTCAGCTATGTTGTCCTAGATTGTTCTCTTCTCCTGCCTTCTCCAAACTCTTCACCCTTTTGTGAATAACTACTTTAGAGTAGTATTAAACGCTCAAACTATTTTCAGTAATTAATCCAGATCAAACAAAAATACATTGCCTAGCAAAAGTATTTCTTTACATTTTGGCCCAAACACTTACAGTCATCATGTTTCCATACAGCTCCAACTCTCTCAGCTCTGCTTCCCTGAACTTCTCATTGAGTACAGGATGACTAGGGCGAGCACGGGCTCCAGCAGCTGTCCATCTACTAGGTTGGAGAAGGGACGAGGGAGGGCAGGGGGGAGAGGAGTGTCTTGCCTTGCTGTATCTATGTGTTTGTGGAGATACACACAGCTTACTTACACACATCATGGTGGCTCTATAGGACCCTGCAAGGGAAAGGAGCCACTGTAAAACAGGATATCAGAACCAGTATTCAGTGGACCAGCTGATTCTGCAGGAAACCAAAGCTGTAGCTTCGGTGAGCTTTGGCCCCAGGACCCCTTCGGTTCAGTAGAACCGAAGGGCTGCTGTACGGGCTAATTACTATAGCCCGTACAGCTCCCGAAGTTGGCCGAGCGGCTTAATCAAGCCGAAGGCATATGCCTCGGCTCGACTAAGCCGCGGTGAAAGCTCAAGCTGGCCGAATGGCCAGCCGACAGCCTGCTTCTGACAGCCGGGCCACTTGCCCGGCCACTTGCAGAGAGATCAGCGACCCTGGTTAGCTGGTAGCAGCCTCTCCATGTTCTCAGTGTGTAATGACAGATGGCGTTCCTGGTTACCTGGTAACCAGAAACGCCATCTGTCATTCCTCCCCCGGACACTCTGGGAGTCTAAGGCCCCATTCACATGTAACGACTTATTGCGCGATTTCCGCTGCGATATCGCGCATTTTTGCCGTGCGATATCGCGAGAAGTCGCCGGCTAATGATAGTCAATGGAGCTGTCTTAGCTCCATGTCGCGCGTCGCTCGTCGTGGTCGCAAGTCGCTTCTACAGGACCCTTTTTTCGGCGGATTTTGTGCGTTTTTGCTTTTTTCTATGGAGCCCGACGGAGAAGGTCGTGCTACCGTCGCTGGAACGTCGCCCCGAAAGTTGCGCTATCCCGGCCACTGCAAAGGTATGTCGCTACATGTGAATGGGGCCTTATAGGCTCCCGGACGCCCGGGAGAGAAATGCTTTAGCACAGAAAGGATCACTCTGCTCGATCGAGCAGAGTAAACCTTTCCCTGCTCTGTTTTTTTTTTCTTCTGACATCGGAGCCGTTGGCTGCCGTCAGAAGAAAAAAAAAGAAATCACCATAGGAATGCATAGCTAGATTCTAGATTTCTATTGGCTATTTCAATTTGCAATAGCCAATAGCAAACTAGCTATTGCACCCGCCCACTGCTGCTGTCAATCAGCAGAGGGAGACCTGCAGTTTCTTCATCAGGTTCCCCTCTGGTGATTGACAGCAGCAGAGGGCAGGTGCAATAGCTAGTTTGCTATTGGCTATTGCAAAGTGAAATAGCCAATAGGAATCTAGCTATGCATTCCTATGGTGTGTTCTTTTTTTTTTTTTTGCCGGCAGCAGAACCGCAGGCCAATAGAAAACAGTTGGGCGGAGCTAGCTGTCACTGCTAGATCCGCACAATCGTTTTCTAATTTTTTTTTTTATTTTTTAAACTATTTTTCTATTCTACTCAGTCCCACAGAGGGACCGAGCAGAACAGCCGAGCCGAATGCTTACTCACTGCTGTTCGGCATCAATGAGAATAGACCGAACAGCAGCGAGCAGCACGCCGGAGGTTCGGCTTAGCCGATCCAGATGTTGGATCGGCTGAGTCGAACGCCTTCGGCACTTCGGGTCGGCTGAACATGCTGAGCATGTTCGGCCGATCCGAAGCCACATGAAGCCACACGATGTACGGCTGATTTCAGCCGATATACGGCTGGAATCAGCCATACCAGCCTGGAGTGAATAGCCGAACAGCGTTCAGCTCACTTCGCTTGGGGTCGATTAGTCACTCGGCTGCCTACGGCAGCTTAGTGAATAGACCCCTAAGGCAGTATCCATTGCAAGAGATTTAATCAGCATTTGGAAAACTTTTGACTTTAATATCACTTTAAGTTGGCGGGTTTACTGCTTATCTCTAATTTGTGTTTTATATATATTTGTTGGAAGCCAAATCTTTATAGGGCTAGGACTGCAGCCTCTGCCTCCCTTGATTCTATGCTGTTCATCTACCCTTTTAGCGATAAGCTGGTTGGTTCACCTAAGCCTAGATAGTACTGATTCAAACGGAATGTATAGATTTGTGACAATGGTTCTCTTCATCATGCTAATAATTATGTGTGTGTGTTTTATGTGTGTGTGAGATACCTTTGCTGAGACATTGGTTGGGGATGGGGCACCCCCATCCTTCCATCCTGTAACCTGGTCATATGACAGATAATGAATGAAAGAATGGAGAGGGAGGAAGTGAGAGGGCGGCCAGTGTGCAGCTCACACTGTATCATTTCCGTTAGGCCTTGAAGTTAGGAACAGAGAAGAAGACTGGCGAGTGTTCCTGGCTGACATACCATGGCAAAATATTCATTGTCCAGCCCCACCTTCAAAAAGTGCAAAGGTTAGATATGAATAGACGAGTCAGCTGTAGCATCTGAATTCCTTTGGCTTCCCCTTCACATCATTTTTTTCCCAATAGATTAATTACAACTGAGCTCTTCTAACTTAGGGGTTAACATTGTAATGTCTAAACACTACAGATACTGGATATTTGTAGAATTACTCAGTCCTGTGCTTTGGCTAAGCCAAGGCTTCATGCATCGTTTTAGTGTCAGTGTATGTCCAAGTGAATAGTAGGGTGCCCGTGATTCTTTGGCTATGAAATAAACTTTCAGCTGAAATAGCTTTAGTCAGCTGGTCAGCCATAAACATTGCTTTGTGTTTGGTAGTTGCTTACCACCAGTGTTCTGCCAGACCAGACCAGGTGTAGCAACAAGAACATTCCAAAGAGCAAAAAATTCCACTTCTAAAGAATTGTCCAAACAAATGTTTAACTGGGCAGCATTTGCTTACGAGTTCCATAGAAGTGGTGGTCTGGAAAAACACACTGCACAAAAATGAGATATTTTAATTGGACTATATATTAGCAAACACAGTTCAGCAACAGTTAAGCTGGTCCTAATAAAACACATTAAGGTGTGTGCCCATTGCACTGAGAAGGTCCTAGGCCCCTTTCACACAGGTGGACAGGTCGGGTCAGTTTTTCAGGCAGATCGGACTGGATGCCCAATGCTAGTCTATGTGCAGCTTTGTCTGTGGGTGGCCAGGTCCGGAAAAACAAACAAAACAGTGTTCCGTTTTTCCTGACCTGATTGTCGGATTGGAGGTAATCTGTTGTAAACGCATTTTGGTGGTTCATTTGGTGTTGAATCAAAACCTTTGGTGGAGGTGATTGGACTTCTATCCATTCTAATGCTGGCTTGTTGTCACCAACAACAGAATCATGAGTGTGGTCAACAGATATTGATAGACTCATTCCTGATAGACATACACAAACGCTGGGATGAGTTCTCTTGTAAAATTAGGTTCTATGCATGCTAAATAAGAAATGTCCATTGCTTATTGACAGACATCACAGCTAGTCTCAGATAGGTGATTATTTACCACACTTGGCAAAAGTGAAGACTCTTTATTTTTCAATGGGAGGAGCTTCATTTGATTCAGAAGAAAAGTACAGATACACTGCTAAAATATATAAACATCACATTCTGATATTAGAATATAAATGCTATGAACCCTATAAATGGGTGTACAGAAATAGTAATGCTAGTAGCTGTGTTATTTTTTGCTGGTATTAGAAACATAGGTAATTGCTTTTGATTTTAATGAGGATTGCATTTTGTTAACAGAGATCTATGATTAACAATAATAATCCACATTTTTTACTTGGCTTGCATGTATACTAATATTTCTATGGTCATTTCCAGGTCCACCTCATCAGACACAGGCAGCCGCAGCAATGAGACCGTGGAGCTACGCCAACCAACGAAGAACAAAAACAATCGACACAAACGCCTGTCTAACATCTTCCACCGCAGTACAATACTTATGACTGGCAGCATCAGTGCTGGCAGTGCAGCAGGGCGTTGGGCTAGTGAGAAGAAGTTATCAGAAATTATTGACGTAGTACCAGAAGATCTGGTGGAGCTTTCTAGCCAGAAGAATCTGCCTGGTATTCTCAAGATATTTGGAGATGATATTTCCTCTGGAACCAACTACAAGAGTGTTCTGGCCACACCACGGTCCACAGCACGGGAGCTGGTAAAGGAAGCTCTGGAGAGGTATGCTGTTGCGGATGCAGATGCTGAAACCTTTGTCCTTTGTGATGTAGTGGGACGTTTTGTAGGGCACGATGGAGAATGGAAGATGGAATATCTACGCATAGTGGGGGACAATGAACGGCCGCTCGTCTTACAAGAAATGTGGAAGCCTAAAGCTGGTTTTTCTAGGCGATTTGAAATTAAGCACAAACAAGAAGTGGAGAAGATGTCTGCAGCAGAAGATAATGAGACCGCAGGTGGGCATGGTGTGTAAAACCAAATTAGTGTACTATTATTTTTGCTGATGTGTCAGTATTGTACATTATGTGGTCAATGTACGTGGACACCCTTCCAAATGATTGAGGTGTTTGCAATAAAGGGTACTGCTACAGCATACAAAGTCATTTTTGATAGTTATGTATTTCCAGTGTTTCCAACTGATTGAGGAAGGCCCTTTCCTGTTGCAGCAGATTGAGCAGCAAAGCCAGTTCCATAAAGAAATCATTTGATGAGTTTGGTGTGGAGGAACTCGAGTGGCCTTCACAGAGCCCTGACCTTAGCAGTATTAGACACCCTTGGGAAGAATAGGAATGCCATTTGTAAGCCAAGTTTTCATTTCCAATCTTAGTCCCTGACTTCACAAATACTCTTTTGGCTGAATGGGCACAAATTCCCCCACACACACTCCCAATTCTTGTAAAAAAGTATTTCCAGACGGAGGCAGTTATAGCCACATAGGTGTGTGTGTGTGGCAACTCTGTATTAATGCCTATGATTTTGGAGTTGAATGCTCAACAAGCTCATTTAGATTTGATAATCAGGTGTCCAAAATTTTTTCGACATATAGTATATTTATATATAAAATTATATTTAATATTTTAACACTGGGATTCAGTTCAGGATTCAGTTCAGGTTAGAAAGTAGGATATATCACAAAATAAGTACAACTTTGTAGACGATGAGGTGTTCTAAGCCACAAAAAGAAAACTATCTTGGAACTACTTCAAAGTGTTAAATGGATGCACACAAATGTTGTGAAATAGATAACAATTTTCATGTTGGTCATATGAGAGAATCGCCTCATAGAGATGGAACCTAAGGTTTAGTAAACTGAAAGATTATAGTGATGTTTGACATTGATGGACCAACACTTTTACATACTTCACCATTTCCCTGCCTAACATTTAGCCTTTAGAAGAAGATAGAATAGTTATTCTACATTACCCACTGTCTTCAAACCGGATCCCAGACCTGTTAACATTGACAGAACAAACCTATATATCGGCATCTGGAACCCTTGAAGCGAACATAGATTTCCCTTAATAGGAAAAAGTAATTCATACTATGTCATACTAGCAATTTCATAGCATCAAAATGCTACAGAATTTCTCCTTAGAGGTTTTGTTGCTAAAAATAAAAAATTGCAGTCAAAGAATGATGTGCGCCATAGAAATTCCTAGCACTTTGTAGATCCGTCACTGAATGTCTGACTTGTTGCAGTACATTGAGCTAGATAGTGACAGCTTTGCCAGCTTTAGTAGCTACCCATGATATCCTATAGAGCTACTAATGATCATGTCACACTAATCATTTGTTACTGCTTAGAGAAGCATTGTAGTCAGGTCAGCTACAGAAACAAACTCTAGCTAGCAAAACATCGCTAGAAAAAATAATCAGACATATTTGGTATATTTATTCTTATGTTCTCTTATAAAAGGTGTGGAGTGATGGGAATGTGTTGGTGCTGACCTGGCATCTAATACCTATACCCTCCCTCCTGTCTATCTGCCTTCTTGTGGCAAAGAATCTTCTTATTCAATATTGTAGGACAAAGAAATGTAATGTGCTGATATGGGGACAATGCGATCATTCTGTTATTAAAGCTGATCTCCTGCCTTACCTTCAGTTTGTACAGTTGTATATAGTTACATAGTATTTGAGGTTGAATAAAGACATTAGTCCATCAAGTCCAACCTATTAGGATCTCATTCTAAGAGTACCTGTACCCCTGTATATTACGGTCCCTTAAGAAATCGTCCAAAAGTTTCTTGAACAATTCCACATTCTTTGCTGAAATCACTGTCTGTGGCAGTGAGTTCCAGACCCTAACTGATCTTACTGTGAAGAACCCCCTTCGCCCCTTGTGCTGGAATTTTTTTTCCACCAATTTTAGGTGGTGGCCTCTAGTTTTTGTAATGGAGTTAATTTTAAACAGTTTATCGCTAATGTTGCTGCCACCATTGAACATCTTGTACATGGAGATCATATCCCCCCTTAATCTCCTCACCTCCAATGTGAACATGTTTAAATTTAGTAGCCTTGTCTCGTAGCTCTGGTCCTCCATACCCCTAATTAGTTTGGTTGCCCTCCGCTGGACTTTTTCCAACTCAAGGACATCTTTTCTTAGTACTGGTGACCAGAACTGGACCGCGTACTCCAGATGAGGTCGAACCAATGATCTATAAAGTGTAAAAATTATAGACTTGTCCCTGCAATACATCCCCTTTTTAATACAGGACAAGACCCTGCTAGCTTTGTTTACAGCAGCCTGGCACTGCAAACTATCTTTCAGTTTGTGGTCTACAATGACCCCCAAATCCTTCTCCATTTCTGACTTCCCTAGCGGCATACCCATAATTGTATAACCCATTTGTTTATTTTTAATTCCAAAGTGCATTACTTTGCATTTATCGACATTAAACCTCATCTGCCACATTAATGCCCACTCCCCTATTTTATCCAGGTCCTCCTGTACTGTTATAATGTCTAAGTCCGTGTCTATTACCCTCCCTATTTTGGTGTCATCCGCAAACACGGAAATATCGCTGTTAACACCCTCCCCGATGTCATTAATAAATAAGTTGAACAATATGGGACCCAGCACAGAACCCTGAGGCATGAGGTATGGGCTCTTCTCTCTTTACTGAAAATTATTTCTCTGATTTTCCTGCACACTTTGTGCTTCAAACAGTGTGCATTAGAAATTGCATCAAGTCATATAGCTCATGACATATTTTATGTCTAGAGGACATCCAGCATCATTTACCACTCCTCCCAAGCTGTACTGTCCCTGTTCTGCCTCTTTCATTCATTTTATTTCAGTTCATTCATTCATAGAGGCTCAGCATCTCATGTGGGCATTGCCTAGGGAGGAGAGCCTGCAAATACAGCCTGCCTAGGAATGGCAACTCTTCCTGCCTGGCAGGCATCCATCAAGGAATTTTAATGCAGTATTTTCATAACTCTCAAGAGCCAGCCCACTGCTTGAGGTTAAGGGCTCTTGAGAGGAATACTACTGTGCAGGGTGCTGTGATTATTTCAGAAAGCTAAGTACAGCACCCTGCTGCCCCCTTCACCAGCTATGATCTGCTTGCATTGCATAGAGAAACAATGATAAGATCACTGAATGTCAGTATTAATTGTGTGCTCTAAGCATATTGTTGAGGATTTTTAATAAATACACAAAATGTCATCTTAAATGATGACATGCATAGCAAAGCTTTGGTCAACTATATCACTGATCCCCTTCTGACCCAATGCACAGTATATGCTTTCTTATTGAATCAGGTTCTGCTTTACCTGGACACCCTGCCTTTGTGTACTAGGCATCCCTGACAGAATACACATCTGGGGGCAATGGGGCATCTAGGTGTAGGCTAATTTAGCCTCATTTAGTTAACTGATTTGATCAGTGCCTGTGTTTGGATCTTTTGACTGTGTTAAGTGAATACAGTCATTATAACTAGGGATGCACCGATACCAGTATTTTGGTACCGAGTACGAGTACCGATAATTTTTTTCGGTACTCGCCAATACCAAATACCGAGTACTGGAAGTCCCATTTAGGAAGCCAGACGGCATGTAATGACTCGCCACCTGGCTTCCTGATTAGCCGGGAAGCCGGGCAGCGTGTAAAGACTCGCCACCTGGCTTCCCGATTAACAAGGAAGTCGTCCCATGCTTCTCGTCACTATGTGACGAGAAAGCATGGAGCCGGCTTGGTGGCCAATCATGGAAGCCGGGCGCCGTGTAATGACGCGGCGCCCTGCTTCCTGATTGGCTGGGAAGCAACATGGAAGAACCTGGGAGGATATGTTCGCTATAGTCTTTGTGGGTTGAGAATCTGGTTGTTATGACTTCCAGGGGAGCCATTTACTGTGCCATCCTTTCTAAGAAGATCTGGCTCAATTTCCATTATTTTTATCCTTGATTCTAAGCTTTGCTAAACAGATTCCTTTTACAATGTTAGAGTAACACTTTATCTGTCATGGAGAAAATAACACAGTCTTCCAAAACTAAACAGAAAAGCACGAAAGGTTGCTATGGTATTTTCCATAATAGCCAGGGAGTAGTAACATTTGCCATAGGAGACAGGGACAGTTTTCTGTTAATTAAAGAAAGTGCACCGCACATTGTGTGACGCTGTAATTGGTGGCAATGGTGAAAGGTGGATGCCATATTTAATATTACCTAAACCCAAAAATTAAAATGCATCTTATTGCAGCTGACCAGATCTCAGATGTGATTGCTGCATTATTTTTTTTTTTATTCTGCAGAACATTTCCAGCAAGTACAGAAAATACCTGTTGATCTTGCCAGAAATGTAGTGTCCTTGTCACTTCCTGTGAGCTGGAAGCATAAGATATTCTTATCTTTCTTTTGTAAACTACTAATCTCTCCATTTCTAATGTAATGGGCATGAACAAAGGCAGGCATATTTGAAGTCCGGCCTAAGTAATAACCATGGCTCCCTCAATAGATACAATGGAGGAGTGAGTGTAGCCACCCAGGGACTGGAAGTGTGTTAATTGCAGGATTACCATGTGGAAATAATTGGGAAATTTTTTTCTTCATGTCTTTATTTAGAGGGTGTGAGTTTTTTTGGTGTATTCAGGTGATTTAGTTTATCTAACTTAGTTCTCTATAACCGTTTTCCCCCTTTTTGGGTACTTGATCATTTTTTGTGTACTGTCACTTTTCATTTTCTGTGAAAAAAAAAGAATTAGGCTAATGAGGAGTTGTTTTTTGGCCTGCAGTGTATCAGCCATGGTAAAGGCAGCAGCCATTTGGGTACCACATGCATGAGGAAACACTTGACTGCACCAAAAAGCTTGGAGGGAGCAGCAACTTAATGAGACAAGTCAGCAGAACAAGGCCTGCACTTCTCCTCAAGGGTGTTGGTATTGTTGAGTTTTGCGATTGCAAACTTCATATCTGAACTATTTACCATCTTTCAGTAGCTTGGATGTGGCTCATGTTGACTCACAGTGTTCTGTTTAGTGCCTGGGCCCATAACCTGTTGGAAATGCAACAGCATACTGATTGTATTACTGACTGTAATTGTATCTTTTGAGCAGTAGATGGCACTATAATGCAATGCTAGTCTATTTTTTTTCCGATAACATAAAACACAGTTTAAAAACTTTAGCCCTCGTTCACACCTGAACGTTTTGTAACGCTCAACAAAACGCTCAAACATCTAAATCCCATTGTATTCAATGGGTCTGGTTCACACCTTGGCGTATTTCAGCCCGTCCCTAACGCGCTACAAAACGGCCCACACCTGAAAAGGTACATGTACTACTTTGGGCCGTTTTTGTTGCGCGCTTCCACTGGGATACAGCCAAGTAGCCCTCGGAAACGCGCGTTTGTCGCGTGATTTTTTTACCGCGAATCGCGGAAAAAAAAACGCGCGACAGGCGCGCATATGCAATACGCCTAGGTGTGAACCAGGGCTAACCCCCAGGGAGCTAGACTGCAGAAAATAATATCATGTAAATCACATATAATTGTAATATACTAACACTAGTATATAATATACTATAATGTAATATAACTTTCCAAAATATTGACATCCAAAAGGACACATTCCAATATTTATACTGCGTAAATCACTGTTCATGCATATGTACTGTTATATATACATTCAGAACAATTTGTGAATGGTTTTTTTTTTGTTACAAAACAAAGGCCATTCAAATTTAAAATTTTAGCCAGAAACAATTTGGAAACATACCTTTTGAAAATACACATGCAGCTGCCTAGCAGTGAAATTCAATTTGCAGCCAGCAATAAATATTCCCTTTTAAAACACACATTCAGCCTGTTATGACTTTAGACTTTAGTGCATATGAAGGGGCTGTAATGACACTGCTGGACACACGCATCAGCACACCACTATATAAAAACCCATAAATTCCCCACAGCATTTTGCTCCCTACAGGACATTCAGTAAGGGTTTACATCTACTTTAAAACACCAATGCCTACAAGCTCTACACTAATCTGTCCTTTAATCAGCAGCACTGAGTCCCTATGCTTGCAAAAGCAATCTCAATATGGCTGCTGGGAACCCTGCCTTTTTATATTGAGGGACTGGCACATAACAAATACCCCATTAATGGCCATTGTAAGCCACATGACCAAAGTTCAGAAAGTGATTTATTGGTAGTCGGTTGCTATGGCCGTGAGCAGCTGCATTCGTTTTCCATGGACTCACTGTGAGTCAATTCTTACTAAACACTCTCCTGCTCTGCGTCTTGCAACTGTGGGTCAGGAGATTACTGCATCCAACGGGCACAACTGCAGTGCTGGGAGCTGCACTCCTTCACCAGCTATGATCTGCTTGCATTGCATTGTTTAAAATCCCAGGACTGTCCCGCTGGATCCTGGACACTATGCAACTATAATAACCACATAGAAAGCACAGTAGCTATTTGTACATAATAATTAGCAGTCATTATGGGAGGTGTCATTGTAGGAACATAGGAAGAGAGTATACGTCATTCCTGGGTGTTTGTAATTATGCAGCTCCATTATAAATTTTTGTCCGAATTTCTAGTCATAGCAATCTTTTTCAGCTGAATTGCAACACACTAGCATCACCTTCATGTTAATGTATGGGAAGTAGGCTCTATTGAAATTAGTTACTCAGGAAATTACTCAGGAAAGTTATGTCTGTGGAATTCCTGACTAATTCCTGATATACATAGGAGATTGCGACAGCACACAGTAAATGCCATGCCCATGATCTCATCTTGTACTTTACTTATGTCACTTCTTTTAATAAATATGACACTTAATTCTAATATGACAAATGGACAGCAAAAAAGACTGGTGGACCAATTTTGCCAGGAATAAGCACACAGATATAAAAGGCAAAGGTATTGTCAAAATGATACCTTTTAGTGGCTAACAAAAAATATTAAAACTATTTTTTTTTAGAATACTGGGTTCCTTCTTCAGGTAAATTGACAGATACACTGTCAATTTACCTGAAGACAGCCAAATTAAAAACTTTAGGAAAAATAAGCACACTTCCTGCATCCATAGCTAATTAAAAGGTCCTTGGGCCCCCCTGCTGAACTGATGGGGCCGGTACAGGAGGGCTTGCTCTACCCTCTTTTGGCGGCCCTGGGTATTGCCATGGCTTTAGGCCTGCCAGCATACTGATAATGCATCATGCATATACCAGCTTGTTTAACCCTCAACATCATGGGTGTGCTTCAAGAGTGTTATTCTAAAATTAGAACTGACCTCTCAAAGCCCTGGTTCTAGATCTTAAAGTATAAAATTTAGATCTTATGGTATACAATATCATATCAAAATATCCAAGCTGTAGGGTGAAAGTACATTTCTAACCTATTCCCTGTGACTTTTTAACCCCTCAAAATTAACATTTTTAAAATAGCTTTTTCTATTTTTAATATGTACATACATAAAGCACTAAATGAGCTTTACAAAAACCCTAACTGATCTTGGTAGATGCAGGCACTGTGGCACAATTAATTTGCAAAAGTTCACAGCAGAGGCACTAAAGCTGCCAAGAACCTGACTAGAAACAACTTCAGTGTCTCTATAAAATGTAAGTATACATTGTTCCACAATGCCTGCAGCTACAGAAGTTACTAATGGTGTGTTTTAAAGTTTATTTACTGCCGGTTAGGGACATGTAAAGACTTTAATGTGCATAGCCTAGCTACAGTTTTTGTTAACATAAACTTTCAAGTAAATATGAAATGCTCTATGTGAATATTTTGACTAGTAGGTGGAGCATTTGGCTCTTTTATATTTATATAGGTTATATTTATTGCTTTATAACCTATTTAAAAAAAAACCTGTTGTTTACAGACCTCAATAGCGCAAGCTGTAATTTACACCCCTGCTACCTCTCAACTTCTCAACCTAACCTCATCTTTTATCCTAACACTATGGACACACACTCCTACTCACTCTAAAAACAACACCCTGGAGCTTTTATTGCCTCTGCACTCCTTGCAACCTCTCCAATGACCCCTTTCTTCTGTCTGATCACAACCTTATCAGTTTGACTATATCCCTGTCTTCAACTGCTTCTATCTCCAAGAAACAAATAGTTACCCATAGAAACATTCACCACTTTAACCCTTCACTTCTTTACTCTGCTGCGGACCCCTATCCTGTCCTGGCTACTTCTGTCTTCAAAAGCTCGCTCTCGTCCTCCCTGAACAAACTTGCTTACTGCACACAGAATTTTGCCTCAACACTACAGCTTCAGCCAACAGATGACAGATGAAAGTCTAAAAAAGTCATAGCCGTGTTCTTGAGCAAGTCTGATGTATAAAGCTGTCCTCAAATATAATCCCTCCCTCCATGATGCCATGAAATTCTATTTCATCACTGTCACTACCACCCTCTCATCCAACTCTGATACTCACCTAACCACCTTTTACCGCCTTTTACCTCCAAACTTCTAGGTCTACAACCATCTGAACTGCTACCTCAGCAATAACAACCTTCTCTACACCTTACAGTATAGCTTTCAACAACAACACTCCACAGAAATTGCCCTTCTAAAACTTACCAATGACTTACTAACAGCTAACATCAATGGTCACTACTCCGTACTCATACTACTAGACCTTTCTGAGGCCTTTGATACAGTTTTCTACCTGCTGCTCCTCAATAAATTTCATGTCCTTTGCCTCTAAGACTCTGCTTTTTGCTGGTTCTCCTCCTACCTATCTAAGCGCTCTTTGAGTGTCACCTACAACTCCATACCCTCCTCCTCCTTCTGTAGGGGTCCAAGAAGGCTCTGTCCCCATACCTCTTCTATGCTTTATCTACTCTTCTTCTCTTGACAATTTAATTGCCTCCCAAGGGTAGGCTTCCAATAAGATCTCTATGCTAACATTACCCAAATCCATCTCTCTGCTCCTCAGCTCACCCCTTTAGTCTCTTCAAGTATTACTAATTTACTACCTGCCATATCAGTATGGATTTCACACTACTTCATCTTTTTCAAAATTGAGCTCATAATATTTCCTCTCGCCCCATACACCCCCCCGACTCTTTCATCAAGAAGCACAGCTATCTTTCTGCTCCACATCCAATAACTGTCTAAATCTTGCCGACTTCACCTTGATAGCATATCCAAAATAAGCCCCTTGTTAACCAATTACACAAACTAAACCAATTTACAAAAATAAACTTATTAATTCCCTTGTTATGTTATGTTTCCTCCTTGTTGTCCTACCTTTATATAGCCCATGTAATATGCAGACAAAGTTGTTTGCTCGGCATTCCCGCCACTAGATTAAGCCAAAGAGCACAGGAATTTCCCTCTTGTGACAGGAATGCCATGTGAACTGTGATGATTGGGCAGACGTTCCATATATTAACCCCTATATAACCACAGAGGAATTAATCTCTCTTGATACAACAAGCAGCATGATTATAAAATGCATTGCATACGCCAGAATGTTTTAATTTATCTGATTTTAATCTATCTGAAATAAAATGTAACAAACCTTTTTTTTTTTTTTTTATAACTAAAATACTTTCTGTCTATGACCTATTTGCACATAGAAAATACAACTAAAGTTTCAATTTCATAATATGAAATTATGTTTTTTCACATATTTACATAAAAAGTTATAGTTGGTAGAACTGTCAGACCTACCTTTTAGCTAACAAGAGAACTATTAGGGAACTGGGTATGTTTTAAATGAAAGTAACTTCCTATTATCAACATTCAAATGAATTTGTTATTTCTACCACCAGGAATCAATGCTCAAGCTCGTAGATTACAGAAGAGCCGTTCTCGGGCAGCTTCTGGTGGAAATGCTCCATTAAGGGAGAGGGATGAAAGCATTTCCCTACGTCGCAGCATAAGTGACATCAACTTAAACAGCAAGAAGCGGAGGGAGCGGAAGAGCATAAAGAGTATGGTAGCCAATGACACAGATGCTGGGCAGGATGGAGATACAAATCAGAAGGATGGCACACAAAATTTAGCTGAACGGAATAGCAATGTTGATGGCACAGATGACACTACAGACCAACCAGATTTGGACTTTGAACGGTTTACTCAGTATTTGATTCAGCCCCCATCTGAGCATCCATACTTTCTTCTGCTGCAAGGCTACAATAAAGATGTGGTGAGGACCTATTTTTACTTTTTTTTAGTTCTGCATGAATGGTGCACAACATGTTACATTCTCTACGCTTGATAAGCAAAGGGTTTAAACAGTTTAGGTAACAATAGAAATTGTTAAATTAAGAAGTTACAAGAGCTTTCTTTATTGGATATGTATTGTTCAGTCAGTACAAAATGTTTTTACTGTATACAAAGCTGCTTTAACTCAAATATGTTTTAGGGAAATTTTGCTTGAATGATATCCTTTAGGGTCATAACATGTTGTTTTGTGGGTTTTTTTTGGAGAGATGTCTTGACCTGTACTAGATACCTAATACCATTTGGATAATGTTGCTCACAGTCACTGTCCCTATTAAAATGTATCTTTTCATCTTTCTAAGGTACAAGTTAATAACATGGGTATCATCTTCCTTCTCTAAATAAGTGGAAATGTGTGTTGTGCTTAGTGATGACTGACACTCTCATTCTCAGCTCTTGGACACCATATTCATAAATTAAAGGCTGGTTCTTGCGATATCACAATACTATTTGCAAGATGACACCATCACATACTGCATGTCCAATATTCTGTGCAGTGTTCAGACAGAATGTAGAGAGCTTCCAACAAGATATAACATTCTGCTTAAACATTGTTGATGAAAATAGAAGTACCTATTCTGTTGATTTTTTTAGGAAGGGCTCAATGGATATAAAGGACACCAATCATGTGATACACTTGAAAGCCATTGCTGATCTCTCTGGAAAATGTTAGTTCTCCAGCTGTCAATCCCCTCCAATACCTTGTTCTTAGGTACTCAGATTTTCCGCTCTGAAGATGTTTCATGTTTAACAATGATAATAAATTGCAGATTTTGTTTTTAGTATTGTTCTTGGGATATTGGTCATTTCAAGGTTAAGTTACATTGAGTTTAAGTTAGTTGCTAGTGTGAGAGTTGGAGAAGCAGCTGGTTGACATAGATTGCAATGCACACATTTTTTTAAAGCTTTATACACTTTACTGACACCAGCAGACGTAAGGAGAACTAAAGGCTTCAGATATAAATAGAAAAAGCATATACCCTGGGAACTTGTGGCACGCAAGAGTTATATTGGTACATAGCTAGTAATCACTTGTGGTAGAGGTAAGTCTGTTCTTCTTTATAAAGAAGAAATGGCTGAGTATTGTGACTGATTCATTTGTGGCAAACGCATGCAGCAGACATCTTTGTGTGTTTTTGTGTGACATATACTGTATACTATATACTGTATGTACATCTGAAGCATGACATGGTCAGAGGTCACTTGAAGTCTGGCAGAGTTGCTGATACATCACCTACTTGACCTCCCATCTCCCATATTCCAAACTTGCAGTGTGTGAGGTCAGGCAGTTAACAGGCAACAGCTGTCCCTGATACTACAAATAAATTAAAGGTAAATATGAGGGAAATTAATTATTAATTCATTAATAATTAAAGATTCGATATTCAGATTCCCTTGTAAGACCAGTATGCAGTACAAATGACAACATCTAACTTCCTAAATGTATTTTAATTTAAATGATGTGGCTTTGTTTTGCTAAAACATTCTCAAATTGTGTTTTTGGAGCAGGACTTTGTGATATATGTGATGACCCGGAAGAAACATCTGTTTGGAAGAGCTGAAAAAGTTTCAAAAGACAAAGGACCTTACGTTGATACTTTTCTGTCCGCTCCAGATATACTTCCTCGTCACTGTTGTGTATGGCGGTTAGATTCCTCTACTAAAAAGAACCTAGTCCGTGTAAGACCTTACCGGGGAGCCCTTCTTACTCATAATGGAGCAGTGCTCCAGAGAGAAGCTGAGCTCCACACTGGTGATTTACTGGGGCTTGGAGAGCACTTTCTCTTCATGTACAAGGACCCTAGAGTGCCACAGGTCAGACCTGCCTGGCTTCCTCAGTCCTGGTCCTCTCCTGGCTTGAGTGGGGCCTTTTCCTGCCAAATGTGTGGGAGATCTCTCCAGGAGCGACAAGAGGCTGTCCAGGCTTATATAGAAAGCAAGGATTTGGTGCTGCAATACCGCTCTCAGGAAGAGGATGCTGTATTGAAAGAGATTATTGAGAAAACCGGCAACCCAAGCACTGAATTCAAACTGGCCCCTGCCTACCTCTTCAGCCTCTGCATTGAACACTCAACACGAGCCTTGGATCCTGGACACTTTCCTAAACTTGTAATGAAGATTGCCACCATGATAAAGGAAGTTGTCTGGGTAAGGCCATTTTCATATTTGATGTGTTTGCATTATATATTTGACAGCATTTTGTAGCATTCTTTAAGGTTCTATTATATGATTTATTTCTTTACCTGTCTATATATCAACATTAAGAAAATGGGGTTCTCCAAAGAATGAAGAATGGGTAATAAAGAAAGCAACTAGTCAAACTATTGAGGTTCTGTAATGCAAGTTAAAAAAATGCAAGCATCTGACTTGGTGTAATGATAATTAAAAATTTTCTTTAATACCGTGTTTCCCTAAAAATAAGACACTGTCTTATTTTTTTTTTTGCACGAAATAAGACACTAGGTCTTATTTTCGGGGGATGTCTTACCTGGCTGGGGGAGATGTGGACGAGGTCCCGGAAGGGGGCGTGCTGTTGCCGGTCCCGGTGTCGGCGGATGACATGCCGCTTCCATCGTGCGCGTGGGCGTGAGCTGCGGCC